AAAAGCGATATATATTCACAATTTATGTTTACCTCAATATCCTAGATAAAAATTTATTTAAATTGATTAATAGAAGATAAACTTTATTTTTATATGTGTACTTACTTCAGTTTTATTTTGTAAATAAACTGCATAAGCTTCTTTAACATCAGCACGAATTGTTGATAATCTCAAACGATATTCACCAAGAAAATCAGAACCAACTGAATCTTCATCATACACCGAAAATCTTTTATATTGAATAGGAAAAATTAAAAATTAAATTAATTTTTTTCTATTACTTAAGTGATTTTGTTTTCATATCTTCTAAAGATATACCATGATAAACTAATGTTTCATCAAAATCAGGATTTAATGTTCGACGAATTGTATGACTTCGTAATTTTGTTGCCTAAATTTAAAAGAATTATTTTCGAAAAATTAAATATAGATTTTTTACTTTAGCAACACCAGGTACAAGATGCAATTTAACATAAGGATCAGAAAGTCCATTTGAATCACATGATCGAAGACTTCTTGCTCGTAATAATGTTATTGTTAATACATTTAAAGATTCTTTCCAAATAATTTCAAAATCTAATGTACCAAATCCTATAAAAGAAAACATAATTCCTTAGATTTTTTTCTTATAAAAATAAAAAAACTAACCACAATCATCAATTGGTGATGAAGTATTTACAACAATTGATGGTGATGGACGAAGATTTATTGATGATGATGCCATAGATGGAATAGGAGATTGTAATGTTGGTAAATAATCTTCGATTGATAGTTCTAAATAAATATTTGTTATTCGTTTTCAATTTATTTTATTTTGTTCCATACCTTTTGAACTTCTTGTATCAGTTTTAAATGAATCGATACTTTCATCTCGATCATGTTCACTTATTGGACTTGGATTTTCAGATACTTGTTGAAATGGATTTACAGTAGTAAAATGATCATGTGGAATAGCTAAAATCAATTATTTGATTATACAAAAACAAACACAATCGTTATCAAACCTGCAACAGGTGAAGGTCGTTGATTTAATCGACCTGAATTATTTTGTTGTTCGTCAGAACTTGAATCATCTTCTGATGTTAGTATATCATCTAGAAAGAAATTCTTTTAAATATCGAACTAATATTTAATCGATTATTTTACTTTTTAATGGTGTAGCTGAAATGCACGATGCAGATGGTTTTACACTTGCTGGTAAACTAGATCGTGAAGGTAAACTTCGAAAAAACCAAGCACCAGATTTTTTCCATAACTAAACAAAACAATAATTTTAATGAATTTCCTTTTTTTGTTTTATCCATCGAATTTTACTTCACGATTTTCACTACAAATTTTACATAGAGTTATAACTTGTTGATTATAAACAGTTTCAATCGAACATTTATTGCAAACAGACTAAAATTTAAAATTAATTTTTCATAGATTTGCTTTTTTCATTACTTTATGACAATCAACACATATAACGGCTGATGCGCCTAGCATACCAAAACCATCAGCACATAGAACGCATTGTGATGATCCATTACCGGTTGCATGTTTTTTCATATTTTCAAGACGATCGATTAGTTTACTTAACAAAGAATACATGAAAGTAAATAAAAATATTTAATTATTTTTTTTTCTCTTCTATTTACCCAACACGTTCTTGTTCAAGAAGTTCAATACGTTGAGCACGTTCAAGAACTTTCTTAATTCGTTCAATTTCTTCATCACGTAATGATTGATTATTTGGTGGTGTAATTGGACTATTAACACGATTTACAAGTGGACGACTTGAATGAAATGACCAGCCGGAACTAAGTCTAAAACAAAAGATGAAAAATCAATTCTTTATTGTTTTTTCGTTTACTTTGCTCGAAGCTGTAATTGACGATCATTTGGACAAACAAACGCACTATTTCCGGCGTCTTTCATCTAAAAAAAATGCGTCTTGATTTTATTTAAAGTACTCTTAACTCTGAAAAACATTGAATTTAAAAGAAAGAAAGAAGAATGGAATAATTTTATCGTGGAAGAATGTATAGCATTAAATAGAAATATTTTAGCGCTACAGTCTGCGATAAGCAGACGTTGATGTAAGTGACAAATGATTTGTAAATGGAAGAAGAAGAAGAAAGCAAATCGATTATTATTTGTTTTATTAAATAATGAATGTATTCGACATAAAAAAATCTATTCGATCTTATATATACAAATAGATTTAGCTTAATAATTCTATTTGCTTTCAGAAACTATCAAAAAAAGAAAAACGGAAACGACTATGAATGTTTTTTGCTTTCGATCTAATCGATGATGACTTGATAAACGCTTTATATATAAAGAATAATCTCTCGTTTAATATTTTTTTTTCCTGATAAAAAAAAACGCATATATTTTTATCATAATTATATATTAATTCATCATAACTAAACAGAAAATAATGACTATCATTTGTCAGTTCTATATTGAAAACGACAACTAGAAATAGTCATTAATTAATACTTGTATAGCTTACTAATCAATTGATCTTATTAATTCTATATATCTAGAAATGAAAAAAAAAAGTTTTCTTTCAAAGGTTTATTTTTATTATTATTATAAAAGAAGAAAAAAAAATACTAGTGTTATTCATGTTAATAAGTAATAAAAGAAAAATCACTTGAGACTCGTGAATAGATCACTTGTTGACGATGTTGTTGTTACAAGTATAATATAATTCTCGTGTTACATGACTTAAATCAGACATGTAATCAAACTTCCTCGAAATTTTCTCTGAACTTTACTATAGAACAATGAATGTCAGGAGTATAAACATATTATAGTAGTGAAACATGACAGATGGTATGTGATATATCATAGGATGTTCAATGGTTGATTGGGAAAAAAACTAATAAAAGATATATTTCTAGTTAGAAGAAGATAAAAATGTAAAAAAACAAGATGTAAGATTATGACAAATAGTGCTAGACAAGATCTATGTGTATGTTCATGTTGACTAAAATGTCTATAAATCATGCTGTTATATCTTAACAGAATGTTTTTGAAGAGCATCCATTAGCTTAAGAGCTAAAATCTACTACCGTTTCGTCTTCCTCCTCTTCTTCTTTTCTCGAGCGAGTCAACCGGCAAGAAAAATATCATCAATAACGACGTATGTGATAATAACATGCTTGAAAACAATCCATAAGATGAAAAAGTCTCTTTCTACTTACGACTATAATTTTTTACCCTTTTCACTTTCTCGCTTTTGTTCTCTATAGCCAACAAAGAAATATCAATAAAAGAAAGAAGAAGAAAAAAAAAGTATATATATTCTTTTTCTCTGTTACCATATCTGATTCTCTTATATATATTGTAAGTATGTAACAATTGCAGAAAACTATATGCATGCTGTTGTCTCACAATAAATACAGAAGATGTTATTATTTGACATTGATATTTAATAGTTTATATGTGGTTATATATACTATTCAGCATCTGACGTTTTCTTCCTGTAATAGATATATTAAAGAGAATTCACTAAAATGTTATATCTAAATAAAAAAGTTGAGAATACAGTTTACATGTCTGATATAGTATAAAAACAGTATTATTATTAGTCATTGTCCATCGTATTTCTTTAACTTACATATACCCTTGACTTGATATTTTTCTAAACTTTAGTCACATATTTTTATTATGTTATTATCTTCATTCTTTATTCATTTCTGCGTCATACTTATTATTTTTCTTTTTATTCAATATATTTATGCATTATCATCGATCATGTAGTTATTTCTTGTTTCCTGTTCTTGTATGACCTTAATAAATGACTAGTATTTTTTTATTTTAGTTTTTCGATGTATATATTAATATACTGACTGACATATAAAATTTTGTCGAACTCATTTCCCTTTCTATTTGCTAAAAAATGCACATTAAAGAATCAGCCATTATAAGATGCATATTATTAAGAATGAATGACGCGAATATTAATTAAAATCTTTTCATATTGATGATATCTATATATTATCAATTAAATAAATGAGGTAAGTGGTTATTTATTTTGATGAAATCGACATAAATTTGATGATAGAATTCGTTTATCTTGTTGTTTTTCATTTATTTCTTTGAAATAATTAATATGTTCTTGTAGAATATGAATATGTCTTTGTTTTTCATCTGCATTAAAATTTTGATGATATTTACGAAGATAAATATAGATAATAACAGATACTAAAAATGCTGGACATAGAAAACTAGTCGGTATAATTATTGATGAATAATAAGAGGAGTTTGTATTTTCAATTGATCTATTCATAGCCATGTTAATCCTATTTAAAAACTTTATCATATATAATCAGGTGTTTTCTAAAGAAAATGGCGCATTTATTTATAAAAACAAAATTAGAAGGGAATCATTACAAGTCTTAATTAAAAATTACCAACGTTCTTTGAGTGTAAAACAATGTGAATAATCAGATAAATAAAATTTCATTCACCGTAAGTTTTATTAATGAAAATTAAATCCCAAAAACAAAAAAAAAATCAACTGACTACAAATCATTTATAGCATGTAATGAATTACTAAAAATCATAAAGGATCAGTTTATCTGGCAATTTATTTCGAAATTTTTGAAATCCAATATTTTTTCAATGATGCAATTCGTTGTTTAATAGCGTTGGAATAACATTTTCCTTGTGGTTGATGTCGATTAATTAAAGCTTGTAAACTATTGTGAGATCGTTCAACAATCTTTTGATATTAAAAGAATATATAAATATATTATATTATGAAATATCTCATTTTCTTACGTCCTCAATTGAATCTTTTGATGTATCATATGAAATCGGATCACCAATATATAAAGTTAATTTTGCTGGTATAGGAATTTGAATCCATGTCATTGTAAACCATACAATTTCACCAATTGTATTTAGTATTGGTGTAAAAATTGGTATATTTAATGCAAGTATAGAAGAATATAAACGACCAAGACCTAAAAGATTCCAGAAGAATAGTATTGGATTCCAACGCATTTCTTCTTGATTAGCTAAAAATGTTGGTACAATTGGTGCTTGAGCTTCGGTAGCTACATGAACAAAGCCTTTACCTAAATATTTATAATTTTACTTAAAATTGATAATTTATTTAGAATCTTACGCTTCTCTGGCCAACGTACTTCATATGCATTTTCATGACCAACCATAGCTTCTTCTCCTCCACCTATATACATATATATTTCGTTTAATCTATGTTTTATTGATTACCTGGAATAACAGCTACCCAAAATCCACTATTTAATAGTGATATTGCAGTATCTCGTTGACCTGGTACACAACCCAATAATCGAAGTACTGGAAAGAATGGAATCAATTGTCGATGAATCAATGATCTAAGTATAGAGAATTTAGAGGCACGAATCGAAATTCTAAGAAAAATCTACCGAATAACTCTGCCTGTTTCATAATATGAACATACAATAATACCTGTAATTTCTGCATTGTGTGTTGAATGTCGAGAGATAAAAAGACAACTTTTTTTAGGATCTATTTTATCCATACCAATAACTATAATATTAATTTTTTAGTCAATCATAAAATTCTTTTTTTATAATTCTCACTTTCAAAATCATGAAAGCAAATAAATACATAATAATAAATCCATGTTAAAATTCGAAAATACCATAATTCACCAATGGTTTTATCAGGTAAAAAAGCAAGACGTGTCGGTAATGAATAACGTCGTGCTTCATTTCGTGCAACTGGATCAGCAATAGCTTTATCTGTTTTCTTTTTTAAATTGGTTAATTCCATGTGAAACAAAAAAGGAATTGTCTAAAATGTATCAAAGATATTTTTCAATATCTCGTTTTATTGCATAAAAATTTAGAATAAATCATCGTAAAATAATAATTATGTTAAAAATGAGTTTATAGATATTTTGTGTTTTGTTTGAAAGATAATCGAGAATAATACAATCAAAATAGAATGAAAGAAAGAAAAAAAAGAATGTCTGTGTAGTTTTTATTTTGTTTAATCACTGAGTATTATTTGTAACTACTACTACGTAGTGTTTCATTAATACCAGCTGTAGCTGCTTCACGGGCTGCTCCACGTACAGTTGGACTAAAAAGAAATTAAATAAAATAATAATTTATTGACAGGTTTTATTAACTTACTTGTTTACAAAAGCCGATTGAAACTCTCGTTGAGCTTGTTCAAGTGTAGCACCGGATTGCCGATATAATCGGTGAACCTGTATTACAAAATATTTAGTAGCGAAAAATAAACACACGAGCTTGAGCAGAGCGATTCCGACAAATTTACTAACACTCTTCACGAATAGTCGAATTCAATCGCTAGATGAGCAAATAAAATCAAATTGTTTTAGAACTCTATTTCTTCGAAATCATTTAATCAATATTATTATAAAGCTGAGCATAATATACATACTATCAATCTACTTCTATGTACTATATTTCACCACTCAAGTTATTACACTTATTCAAGACAATAAAAGTACGATCTTACCTTAATTAATAACAAAGCATCAGCAAGAACAATAAAACCAAAACTTAATGTAACAATCATAACAATAAGACCAACAATAATTTTACTTCCAACATGAGAAGAGAATAATTTAACCATCAGTATAAAACCACTAAAATAATACACACATATATATAGCAAATATTTGTTAATTAATTTCTTAGTAGCAGCAAGCAACAAGAATTACTAGAAGATAGAATTTTTTTACTCAATTAAACACATGCAAAGCAAGAAATAGAATTCTGCTAGATATGAGCATGCATACTAAGAAATCTATTTTTTATATTAATTACCATCCAAGATTAGCAATGCCAAAAAATTGTAATACGGTTATGATAAATTGCATAAAGAACATGAGAAAAAATATCATGAAACTTGATGCACTGTCTTCTCTAGGTAAAGTTATAAAGAAAAAAAATTAATATGTTGATTAGTTTCTTCGAATCTAATCTATTCATATGCGTTAGTTAATTTCGGAGTTAGAATTTTTATTTTAGTTTTTATTCTTATTACCAAAAACCTGAATTTTGCCAGCCCAATATCATGAAAACGGATATGCATATTTGAAAGAAGAATATAAAAAAAAAGATCATAAAATCAACTGATCGATCAGATCTAGAATATATCTCTCTTTTTCCAAAAAATCTATTCATATCAGATAAATATGTATATATCACCTGAATGCACGATAGATTGGTCGAAACCAACAAACATACGAGCATGGAATAAATAGTATAAAATATACTATGGATAAACCAAATGTAGATACACCATTTTTATCAACCACTGTATAAATTAAAAAAAAATTCTTTTCATTTCTGTATTCTTTTAAAAATAAATCTCAACTAACTAAGATAAGCAAATGCCGCAATTATATTCAAAGCCAATGTACCCGCATATACTAATTATAAAAGAAAATATATGATATATAATGCGTTAGAATTAAAAAATACATACATAACCATAGATAATAAAGATAACGAACCCATATTTGAAATTCAGGTGGGATTTCAACATTGATATCCTGATAAAAACATGGTCGAAGTGGAAACCAAGCTGGTAGCGGGGGAAAATTTTTATCACGTTCTAAAGAAATAAGTTCGAAAGTACTGATATGTAGAAAAATCTTATGCGAAGATAAGATTTTTCTACATATCAGTACTTTCGAA